GGATACCATTTGTTTAACTGTATTAGATTACAGTTACATCAAAAAATGAAGTAAATCAGATTACTGTTACCTTTTAAGAAACAGGTTAACAGTGTTATAATCAATATATTATAGGTAGAGGTACTGAAGGAATTTTCTTAACTATTTATATTGAGGGTAGTTTCATTCTTCTTTATTTTAAATTTGTAATGCTTTACCTGATTTATTAAACAAAACTAAAGTTTGCTTTTAATTAATGTATTAAGCTTAAACAGCATTTTTAAACTATTACTGATTGTGTTATTTTTTTGTATATGAATTATCTTAGTTTCTTATTTTCTAAGGTTACATTGTGAAGTAAAAAAATCTTATTTTCTCTTGTTTTTATTTGCCTTGCATTTGATATTGTGGAAATCCGAAAGTAACAGAAAGTAATCAGGATACATTACTTTTATATTTCGATACCCAGATTAGGTTACTGATTACATTTGTGGACATGTTACTAGTTATTGTAATGGATTACATTTACAGGCGCAGACATGTGATCTGAAGTCTGACCCCACCTTCTCTCTCATACAATCCCCACCAATCCACTCCAAGGCTTCTCATCAGCCGTATTCCTCTACTACATCAAATCCGACAAAACAGCTGATCTGCTTATCTCTATCGGACCTGAGAGTATAAACTGCTTACTCTCCTCTGGCCTTATGTCAGGAACAGGTTTACTGTCTGATTCTGCTTCACCCTCATGTGCCAGCAGTGAAAGGCCAGGCTGCACCAGTTTCATAACATCACTGCTATCACTGGTGTCAAATGTTCACAATACAATACAATACTGCAGAAGTATAACAGCTTCAACCGGAACAGGAGGAATAAACCTTTTTCCGAATTGACGTTCAGCATCAACGATTTCATGAGACGAGTTTGTCTGAAATGTCGAGATTTGCGTCAAACAAAATAAAATAAAAACAGTGAGAAGTATGAACGAGAAGAGAGTGATATTGTGAGAGAGAAAATATCTGGCCTACACTGAAAAAAATTAAGATTGACTTTAATTAAATGTATTTTGTCAACAGGTTCCACATAGTTGTATTAGGTAAGTTGAAGTTAACCTATTATTTTTATTTAAACGTAATATTAATGCTTTCAACTTACCAATTATGTGTAATTTGTTTACATAATAAATGTATTTAAGTCAACGTTTGTCCGTGTATATGGCATTACAAAGTCAACCTCCCAGTGTGACACAATAATTTCAATTTATGATTTCTTTTTCATTTTGTAAATGTCCATTGTATCTGGAATGAACCGTCTTCAACACTTTTCAATAATAGAGAATACATCTGCTGTCACTTCTTAAGTGTAAGCCTCGTAAAAATGATCGGTTTTCGGCGAGTAGTACCCGACCAATTTAACGGAAGGAAAAATCTCCCCGCTACACCGCGTCACCCGCACACATCCGCAAAGCCCTAAGTCCCCAGTGTGCGCAAGTTTGGGGGGGTGAACGTCAGTCGTACGTCGAACGGACAGGGACTCTGTGAAGGTGGGGTTTAACGGGGAGGACAACCACAAAAGGTGTCATAACTCATACATTCAGCGAAACCCTATTTTGCAGATTGTACATTACATTACCTACATACGTAAACTATTCTCCTTGCGTAAAGCGGATCGTTTTATTTAGGTAATGGAGAGGAGGGAGGACATCGAGGGATTCTATATAACACTTCACAAATTAGTAAGAACCCCCGGAGACGGACGAACACATGTAGGGAATTAATCGCTATCGTGTATAACTTTACACAAGACACGTCACACAACACACAGACCCAACGGAGCCCGGCGAGTCTAATCGGAAAGGAGTGTTCGAGAAGGCGGGAGAGAACTAAAGAGTGAACCCCCACTGTACTGTAGTATATGTTCACGGTCGTCGACTCCAGCTCTACGGTCGAGTAGTGTACGCAAGGTGACCAAGTTTACAAGTGTTATCCTTGTATGACCGGTCGGCATATTGTCGAACTTCGGCCTTGTCCTCCTTATGGATAAAGGCTTAATGCAGTCTCGAGACTCGTACTGCTAGAGCTATTCGCTCACTGCTTACAACTCTACATCGCAGTCTTTCGTTTACTTATCTAACTCGTCAATACTTGCTCTTTCTCTCACTATAAGCACTCTCTCCTTTATAGGCACCGGATAGTGGCCTTTTTTAATTCATAACTGATTTCATAAAACAGCTGTCCAGAGGTGTATCAACATAACTCCTCTACACTTCGAATGTGTCAGCCACACCAGTGAATAAGTTGACTTCTACTTAGTACTCGAAGTTAAAACTCGAGGGTGGTAGATACTGGTGTTTACATGTATTCTTTACAGCCAGATAGTCTAGTGCAGACACAAGGAGCGTTACCACACGTGATGTTTCAGAGTGGAGCGACAACTGTATCTATGTCAAATCCTAGGAAAGTAGAACATTCTGACAAGCGTAACTATGGACCTCACCATCACGTAGAATCCTGTGAAATCGTCTAGTATCACCTATGTACGACAGTGATAGATTGTAGAGAGCATCTTCGTGAGAGTATAGAGATATCACCACTTTGATCTTATCGACTTCATTATAACTGAGCAACCTATACCACTTTTGCGATACTGAACTCCTTACTTTATTATTTATTGAACTTTATTTTGCATACTATCACGTTATAGTTATTACATGGTACGTCGTAAAATATCTGGCATTCATTAATAGAAAATATCAGTACGTGTAGTAGGGTGAGGACACATGTGTTTCTGCAAACAAATAAGACCAAGAGTCATCGACAATGATAGTAACTACCAATGGGGAGGATGTTTAAGTTGTCATTGTTTTGAGTAATTTTCCTATACTTTCGATTATATACACAGTTTTGTCGTGGAGATAATATCATAAGGACAAGTTTGTTATTTTATGCACAAGTGC